GGTTCAGCAAACCAGCCCTGCCACCAACCCCGCCTGCCTGTGGGGACAGCGCAGCCCTCAAAAAAGGAGAGCGCTCCATCCCACAGCCAGAAGAAAACACCCTGGAGGAGGGAGCTCTGAGGAGCCTGGGAACTCCACCTGAATGCTGCATAAGGCCAAAGCATTTGAATCAAGAGGCTATAATTTAGAGAACTTTCTGACGACTTCAGAAATCGCTGCCTTCATTTCCATGGCTTAGACAGCCAGAAAAAATCCATCAACAGAATTACAACCTGGCAAGTCACTCTCTTTAGACTGCCCTTTGCTGTCACAGCATTTATAATCCAATAAGTCTCTGCCGTTACAACCTCAGCCTTCCCTAAACACTTCAGACAAAAAAAATGACTTAGGTAAGTTGAACACGTGCAGAGCTGCTAGGGACAGACTCCCGGAGCCCTCTCCAGTTTTTACAGGAGACCCACAACAAGTACTGCTCTCCTGCCTTTGCACTAACTCCCAGCTTGACTGGGCACAAGTCTCGCCCTAAGACACCTTTCCCACCTCTGTCAAGTCAAAGCAGTTAAAGTCTTTTTCACATGCCCTAGGAAATGACCTCTCTTCCCAGTTCCTCCCTGCAGTCTAAGGGAACAGAGAGGTGACTGCAAGGCCCCTCACAAATTACTGCTCGTCAGCTGGGCTAGGCTAATTCACTACGTGGCCACCCTCAGCCTGTCACAAACGCAAAAAAACCGCATCATCGGCAACAAGACCAGAGCGTGCCACGGCCCGATACAACGGTTCAGTTCAGAAGCAGCACAGTCCCATGTCACAGTCACCCAACCACTTGCATTTGTGCGTCCAAAGCGCTGGGTGTCATCACAGTTATTCAACACGAGCATTTAAACACCCAACACAGATACGAAATCCTCCAACTAACCAGTCCAAGGGTGCTGTGTTGCAAAGAGCAGCACAGGTCAGACTCCCGTGGGGACCAAGCTAGCAGAACTGTCTTTATCTGCTCTCCTTGCCTTCCCCAGCCCGAAGCAGATGATGGGACATCCACAGAGGACCCCACAGACTGGAGCAGTACAGGCAATGCAGAATCAACTATTATACTTTAAGATCAGGCTTCCCTAAAAGTCTAAATGACAGCTCTCATTTTGGGTTTGACAGTTGCTGGAGTGCAGGAGCACGGCAGGAATTTCTAAGCCAGACATGGGCCTGCACTTTATCTGCAGACACAGCCGAACACCTGGCCCAACTCCAACACCCCTTCGTCTTTCCCAGCATGATCTTACTTTTGCGAGCCACGGCACTCTTGGGAAATGCATGTAAAGCCTAGTGCTGCCCCAGTCCACACACGAGGAGTTAACAACGTGTTCTAGAAAAGACTGGACTGAAACAACCCAATGCAGGAGAAGGGACGACAATTACTCTTCTCTTCTCATCTAACGTCAACTCGGTCCCGTTGCTGGTCAGGGCGGCTGCTGCCCTACCGACAGTACTAGCTGTTACCAGGCTCTGTTCCTCAACAGCCCCACAGCAATGCAGTCACCTGCTTTTTAAAACCTATACACCAATCCCCCGAGCGCCATCTCTGGTATCAAAATATCCCCTTGCCAGCATCTCTGGCTCCCAACACCACAGTGCCAATTACCACCAACCCCTGAAGGCCAAGGAGAGGAGGACCTAGCTCTCATTTACACAACCCCAAAACACACAGCTACGGCCTGCCCATGTTGGCCACAACCTACCTGTTTTCAGCACTACCAAGTGAGAGGAGTCATCCCGGATGTAGGAAACAGATGCGATGTCATGGATGGGGACCCTGAGGATGAGGTCTTCTCCATCCCTCCACACCAGCTTGATGTTATAGGCAGACAGACTGATCACAGCATCGTGTTCTTGAGTCAGCTGTCCTGGGAGCTGATGCGCTCTCTAAAACAAAGACGTTTCCGTTAAAACGTGAACTGCTTCCCCTCTGGTAACGGTCAGGTAACAAGGAGGAGGCCCTCTTCTCAGAAGGAGGCGAATCTTCCTCCCCCACCCCTTCATCTATCTGCATGTCATGTGTTCTGGGGCTTCTTGCTAACGGTAAATACCCATGACCTTCAGTTAACTAATGAAGAGGGGTGTGAACCCAGCTCAGGCCAGCAGGGTCTATAACGGCGGACGCAGGCAGCTCCCTGGGAAGCTGCTCTAGATCTAAAACACCTTCCCACAACTAGGAGGCAGCTCAGAGACACCCATGCTGCCCTGTGGCAGGCAGATAGGCCCAGCAGGGCCCACACTGTACGCTCCGCTTAATCCAAGAGATTTCCTGAGTTACCCCATGCTTTTCTCTGCGTTGTACTCCTCGTTTGCTAGCTCCAACAGCGTGCGGCTTGCCTGGATCTTCCCGTTGCCCAGGGGACCCTAGCCCTGCACTGCCCCAGCTAACAGAGTGCCGGCTGTTCACCAAGCCATATTTGTAACACCGCAAGGGAGGACATCAGTCAGATAGGACCTAGCCCTGGAGAAGCTCCGCAAGTCTTTTCGTCTTCAGAGCGGCCTCCCCCTCCACAGGGCTGTGCATATATCTTAGATAAAGACGACACTGATGGGAGAACTACAGGGATTCATTCAAGAGCTGTCCGAAGGGCTGAGCGCTCACCTTTGCATTATCTATCAGGTGCAGTATTTCAGTGCGGCTGGAGGGATTCAGGTACCCTGGGATGGACGTTAGTTGGCCTAAATACTGGGAAAGAAGAACCAAACCATTACCACAGGACACACACCCTAAGTAGGGCCCCCAGCTCATTAGCTACTGGAAGAAGGACCACCACTGGCTCAGTGCAAAGGGCACTGCCAAATGGCTGGTGCCCTAAGCCCCTGTTTAGAAGGCGCTAGAGAGCACCTCAGTATGAAAGATCTCTCATGCTTTTAAGTAGGCCTAACACTACATCTATATCCATCTATTCCCACTGCTAGCTGAAGGGAGATGCCATGAATCCAGAGCTTACACATAGCTGCACTGTCCATTCAGCTTCTGCAGTTACCAGCGAGTGTTCGTTCCCTTTGGGTTAGGCCTGTGGGATTAGATAGTGACTCCGTGCAGCATCTTTCCTACAGGCTGCATCCCAAAACATTTTACAGGAGCTAAAAAAATAAGAACAGCTGAGCGCACTTCTTTGCGACCGATACCTGAAAGGAGATGAAATCAGGAAGCAGAAAACCACACACAAGGCCTGTTCTCCAGAAACTGCAGAGAAAAGTAATTTATCAACAGAGGCAGAGAGGGACAGAAAAGCAGAGCAGCAGGTCCGAAAGCCCAGGGAGCACCCGACATTTTCATCTAGATGCTGACACGATGGGAAGCCCCGGGGCAGGCTAAGAGGACAACAACAGCACTGCACTGTTTGGCAACATCCTGTGCACAGCGGCAAGGAGCTGCAGCATCGCAAGCAGGGAAAAGAAAGTGAAAGAGCTGCATTTTCCAGTCGAATGCACACCTCAGTACCAGGCCTTTGCTGCCTGGGGAAAACGCACTCACTCAGAGAAGAGCTGCGACCTTTTCAAGTGAATTTAGGGTACGATTTCAATACCTTTAGTAGAAAAAAATTACTGGGGAAGCTCTTTTGCAGTGGGTGATGTAACTACACAGCCCTTAGGCCTAAGAGGAGGAACGTAGAAGAGAGGGAAGAGCCCAGTCCCAGACAGGCCGAAGTTACCTTCACTTCTTTTTCAATGTAGTCATTCAACAGTATGTCTGGTTCAACGCGATCAGGCAAGGACACCACGACTGTATGAAGAGGTCGTCTTTCCGTAACCTTCTCCTGGGCCTTTTTATCCCGACCTTTCTCACCCTTCAGGAAGACTCGTTTGAAAGGGGACACTATTCCAGGCTGCTGGCAGAAACAGAAACAGCGGCGGTTAGGGTTAAGGTCTCCGTGAGACGCGACACGCACACGCACACACGGGCCAAGGGATGCGTCCAGCCGAGCACAGCCTTCGGCCTCCTCTCTGCGCTGTGACACCAGCTCCGAAACAGCCAGAAACTGCATTAGTGATGCATTTTTACGCAGAACTCATAGCCCAGTTCTATGAGCCAAAACCACCCCCATCGACACGCTGGATCCTGTTTTCCGGCTAGGAATCCACAGTTGCATGATCATCCGGTGCAAACCCCCTTCCAGGGATGTGTTGCAAGAATGTAAGCGTTGACAAGTGTCAGTTACCAAGACTGGCCTTTTTTCACCCCAAAGTGATGATTTACAATATTTCAGTTTAAGAATAAAATATATATACATATATATATTTATATATACACTCAGAGTAAGAGCTGTAACAGTAACTGAGCCGTGGCCACATGCAAAACTGTACGCTTCCTCTTTGTTTCTGCAGGCATGCAATTTTATGATTCACCCACATATTTGCAGCAGGTGCTTCCTCCTCCCAGGAGCACAACGCGCCACGACGGTTTCCAAAGGCGAAAAGGCAGGCGTGCTGCAAGTTTGTCCGAGGCCTCAGGGGAGATGGGGCAGGAGGGGACCGTCCCAATCCGAGCCCTCGCTTTACGAAACCCCTGACACCAGCGTCGAGCGCAGCGAAGCGTCCCGGCGGCCGGCAGAGCCGAGCGCAACCCGCTTGTTCTTCCCCGGCTCTCCCAGCACCAGCACCGCCCAGGATAGGTTTGCATAAAAGAAACGATCGGAGCCGGCTCACAGATGCAGGGCAAGAATCAAAGCCACGAGGTGGGATTTCCCCAAACCACTTGGCAGCGGGTGCTGCTTTCACGATCTGATTTCGCTGGATTCTTTTTGATGCTCTTTACGGAGCAGCCGGCATAAAAGCAGAGCAAACAATCGCAACTGTAGGCAGAGGGCTAAAGGCAAGAAACTCCATCAAAGAAAAAGCTTGCACAAAGAGCAGGAAGTGGAAAAGCATATCCGAACCTGCAGATAACGGCGCGGTCAGGTTGAGCCTACCCGTTAAAAACAGGCAAAGGCAAAAGGCAAAGGTACAGCGTGGTGCCCGCTGGATTTTATGGCAAAGCATATGGCTTTATTCACTTCACTAGTGAACGCAGTTTGGAAGAAACAATCTCATCTATGTATTTGACTGTTTTCACCCACGCATCTATCATATCTATAAAGCATATATATACACACCGGCTCCAGCGGTCCCCAACAGACTGAGACGAACGCTGGGATCTAGCAAGGGAGCCAAAGGCAGCAGCAGCGCTCAGAGTAAACACGGCCGCTGCCCGGGCAGAAAGCATCACACGGTGTCCTCACGACCACAAGACTTTGCCAAACAAAGCACTCAAAGCCGTCCCAGGGCTCCCTGCCGTCCCAGGGCCCGCACCCAGGGGCATCACCCGGGCCCACACGCGGTCGCAGCGAGGCAGCCGGCCCTCCCGGGGCTCTGGCATGGTTTAGCCACGGGTGTTTCTCCGGTCTGCAGCTCCTTTATCACAGGTTCTGCCCTTCCAGGCTTGCACAGTCCTGCCCTCTGCAAACGGTTTTACACTAGTGTTTAAGGCTGAAAGCCTGAGCTGGAGATGCTCTACAGATGCCTGCAAATAACATTTAGGCCGCTGTAGTGGTGCTCAAGGGGCAGGTTTCCAGCGAACTTGCCTTTTTCCCCACGTTAGCCGGTGCCAATATTTTATGATTAGGTGACCGACCACGTTGCAGGCATAGGGGAACGCCTCCGTGTGCAGCCTGAGTATCGGAGGAGATGCACAAACGACGACTACAAGACTGAAAAAAGGGCTTTGTGGTCCCCAAACCATCGAGTGCTGTTTTCAAAAAAGCCTGAGCCAATTTCCACCCAACAGCCAGAGTTTCCAAGCCAACACGGTAGCCCGGCCGATGACGGTGTGCAAACACAGATTCCCAGCTATAGAGGGAGCATCATCACCGTCCTTCTCCCATGGCACGGGGCGGGCAGCTGCAGCCCTACACACTGCCTGAAAAGTCACTGCAGAGGCTGAAGAGCAGTAGCTGCGCACCGAGCTCGGCATCAGCCTGCCCTACTGTTAGATGACCAGGAGCACAGACGAACGTCTTCATTTCTAAGTTTAGCAGGCTCGGCAGATGTTTATACACAGGCAGATCCAGCGCTCGGGATCCACATCAGCAGGATCGTCCATCCTGCAGTCTCGAATGGAAAGGAAGAGCTCCTCAGCTGCGGCATCTCCAGGTCTGCGGCATCTCCAGGTCTGCGGCTCCGATGCAGCATGCGCTCCCGGCTCTGGCTGCCCCGTCCCGCGGGCCAGCGTAGCGCATCCGAGGGCCCGGCACCTCGGCGAGCTGCAGGTTCAGCGCGGCAGCAAGGCGGTCAGCAGTGAAGCTTTCTGCTGACCTCTGGCAGGTGTCCTGGAGAAATGGCCACCGCCAGGTCAATCACGCTTGGGCTTTCCTAACTTTAATAAAAGGCAAACAGTGGACTGAAAAGATCTGCGGAGGCAGAAAGGATGCTTTGAAAGGTGAGTTTAATTAAACACAAACAAAGCGCTCCCAGATCTCGCATTCTGCAGAAAACTGTAACGTACTTTGCAGCCTCAAACAGCCAACTCAGCCCCATCTCTTGCCAGTGTCCACCCAGGAAGGACCATTCCCTGGAAACCATGGTCACAATCAGCTGCTGTGGACCCTTCCTCTGAGCAGCTTGAATCTTGCTGTAACACATGAGTTTGGAGGCGGATTCCACCCACCCGTGATCTACCCAGAGCAGCTTCACGTGCAGCCCCGACTGCACGCTTCTGACCTGCCCCCATCAGACAGCAGCAGCTTTAACCTCTTTTGTCGCTAACGCTTTTTATCTTCAATTGCGGCACGCTGAGAGGGCACAGACAGATAGTTTCCCACAGCTCCGCTGACATGTGACACTTTGAAAAGGTCTTTAACCCAGTCGTGTCTCCGAGCTCCTGCCTATCATGTTTATTGAGGCAAAAAGCCTGTGGCTAAGAGCGCTAAGCAGGACTGATAGCTCAATTTCATTAGGCTTCTTTTCTCAATTTAGACAAGCATGAAAGATCTACGCGACCAAGTGAGATCAAAGAGAGACCAAAACGATTGGAAACATTAGAGTAGGACTGGAAAATTGTACAGAAAAGCTCCTGTTCTAATAGTATTTACCAAATCCCAGACTGAGCCAGGCACCGCAAGGACGTCAGGGACAGCCCTGCCCTGAAAAACTTCCCTTCTACCAGGGTGTGCCAGGGGAGACAAAAATAGAGGGAGTTTATAAGACAAAAGGGACAGAAGAAACAGCTACATGATACTGTACCTGTCCTTGTTAAACAGCTCTGCCTTTATACCAGCAGGACCAGCGAACAGCCCCACCAAGCACTGCCGATTTCAAAGATGGTGCATCCCTCCTCCGCTAAGTCGGACTCCAAAAGACGAATGCCACCCCCTCACGATACGAAATCCAGCTGGTGCCCATCGAGGGGCTAGGGTACAATTCCTCCAGAGAGCAGAAAAACCTGCCAGCAACCAGCCTCTTGGCCAAGCCCAGAAGCGCCAGAAGCGGTAAAACACGACGGACGGTGCCAGGCTTCCTGGCACTTCTCTCTGAGGCAACAAGGCACAAGGAAGTTCAGGAGGAGCTCGCTTATAAAAAACCGAATATGAGAGCATCCAAGACCAAACTTCAGATGCTGCTGTGTAAAGACTAGTCACAACAGAATCTTTCAGAAATCAAAATCAAAAGCAGGGAGGCACAGAAATCTGCAGTCAGTGCCAGCCAGCGCTGTATCCAGAACGGTCCCAGACACCCCTTCTTCCAGCAGGACGCCGATGGCGCTGGAGCCGCTCAGCTTTCCTCTTCGTGACTGCACAGATCTGACCCGCTCCACCAAAGGCAGAAGAAACTCCAGCTTTCCCCTCCTGACTTCAGGCAGCCACCACGAGCTAGGGGGACACTCCAGAACTACCCTCGTTCCCAACTCACCTGCACACCCTGGCTACAGCCGGTCGCCTGGGCCCTGCAGGAGAACTGCAGATTCTCCTCAAAGCCAGAAACAGCCCGGGTGCTGCAGTTTTGAGGGTCCAAATTCAAGGAGCAGGCATAAAACAGCATGACTCAATGCGGAACAACATCAGAGCGGCTTCCATGGTTCTCAGCGCTTATATAAATCCAAAACCTACCTCGTTCTCCATGTAGGTACCCAGTTAGAGAGAGCAGAAGCAAAGCTTGTTAGTGCAGGTCCTTCGATGGCTCACCAAAGACACCTCCAGGTGAAAGAGAAGCTGCTACTGTGTTTTCAGGGGCTCTTGAACCTCCCAGATCACGCTGAAGAGCTAGGCAAACCTGCTAGCTTTCACTCTTCTACAAGAATGCGTCCAGGAAGCGAAAAAACCACAGTTTCCTTCTGTTATATATGCATGCACGCAGTAACAGTAAAAAATAAAGCTGCTGGTAAGAACCAACAAGTTTTAGAAAGGGGGAAAAGAAAAGAGAAGTGTTTACAGAGAGTCATCTTCACTTTTATGTCTGCTCAGCAAGCAGGGCCAGCTTCATGCAATAGGAACAACATTCCCTTCGGGCTGGTGCACAAAAGCTCCTCTAACTTCACTAAGCTCAATTCCTTTCCCAGCTCCCAGCCACATATGTCTCCACCATCAGAACCCCTACACCCATGCAAATCTGCCAACACTCTTTGTTCCTAGACCCTGCATTTGCAAATAGACACACTGACGGTGGAAATATTCCCAAATCACAGGGGGCTTTAACCTGGGTTTCCCCTCCAATGTTTAGCTGTTTCATGACTACTTCGTTCTTCAAGGTCTACCAAGCTGACTGAGACCTAGTGCTGTAAAGTTTTTTCAGAGCCTAGATTTCTACTCCTTAAATTTCTTGTTCACGTTTGAAAGGACAAGCAAAAAGAAAGATTGTCAATCTTTGAAAAAGAGGCTAAGAGCTCCATGCCTGACACAAGACCTCCCAGATGGCACTCTGGGAAAGAGAGAAGTGTTTAGATGAGCCTTGCAGGGTTCAAACATGAACTGAAGAGTCAGACTCAGAGGATTAATGAAAACAAGTTGCTAATTTCACAGACAGAGAATCAAATTAAAAAGCCAACCCGAGTAATTTCCCCAATGAAATCTACCCGTTAAGCAGAGACAAAAAGAAGGTCAGCTATAGAAGAAACACTTGAAGGTCTGCCAGGTTGATAGAGAACCATACGCCCTTGGTGCTTGCACAGAGCTGGCTTTACACCAGCAAACTCCTCCGGTAGGCTTCCCACCGGGCAACTCCTGTGATGGACAGCTGCCTATCAATAGTGCCCTTAAAACATGCAAAGCAACAGATAGGTAGAGACTATCCGGGACTAGCAGCCTGATGAGATTATTTTTGCATCTGAGTTTGTCAGCTTTCCCTCAGGAACCAGCAGAGGATGTGAAAGCAGCCAGTCCTAGACTCTTGCAGGATACAGCTAGCACCTAGTTTCTGACAAGTTATTACATTTTCGGAGAGAAGGATCTCATTTCTCCTTGAAATTCATACAGCAAAGTCAGTTTTCTTTTTTTCCCCCCTCCTTGCCCAGGTTTACAGTCTCTGAAGCTGTCATCTCCCAGTCCACCTCCCTGCGTTTCGTCCTGGTCACCAAGGCGGCAGGTTTGGAGACGAGCTGGCATGCTGCAACAGAAGATGCGTTGGGATGGGGAGCAGGGGCTCAGCTGGCATGACACAGCTTATTTTACAAGGATCGCTTGCATCCCTGCATCCGTGCCTGCATCCTGCTCCACAACCCTGCTGGCAGGGGAAGAAGCCAGGGCCGGCAGTGAGCCACCACCTCACATGAGCAGATGTCCACAGGGACCTCACTGCAGCACGCTATGTCGCTTGCTGTTCAAAAGCATTCATGTTTTAAAGGTAGGAAAAGCGGTAGAGAAGTGGCTACACAAACACACAAGGCCACCCATGGCTGGGCACTTTGAGGAGTCCCGTAGCTCCTGGCAGAGGAAGGCACACATGGTCACCTCCCCGTGCCTTCTGCTGCTGACGCTAAGTTCAGAGACCCCACCGCAACTCAAGCTGCTTAATGGAGCATTTAGGACTTGACTAATTGAGAGACAATATCTTATCGAAAGGCTTAGCCCGCTAAGCATGTACGTGATCAGGCAGGGGATCCTGCTCCATAAAGAAGGGCAGCTGTGGCTAGCTTGCATTTTTTTAGAAGACCTAGCTCACTTGCTATACGTTCACCTACATTTGGCCAACTGGAAAAGGGAGACTGGCAAGGAGGAGTCAAGGGACATCGGAAATAGCCTATATTGGTGAGTCATGGGAATATATTATAGTTTCTCCCAGCTTTCTGGTTTTCCTTCCACTAGGAGGTAAAGCTGGGCACCACCAATCAGCAAGAGGTAGACAAGATTAGGGAAGAGCCCAAGGCAGCTTCTCGCTCTAGATGGGTTATTTGTGACCTCTTGCCGCACCAAACAGAACGCACCGCTAATGCCTGCTGACTATAACCCCGTTACTGCTGCGCTGATTACCTTGGACCCCTTCTCCCCAGAAACAGAGCAACTAAACCTGCATCAGATAACCCACTCTCCCAGGCTAATTTCTCTTTTGGGAGAGGACCCCAAAAAGAAACAACTTCTCTTTCTCCTGAGCTTGTATGCGTACCAAGATGATTCACATCTCTGATGCCATTCCTGTTGGAGGCTAAGAAAACAAGTAACAGGGATTTCACTGACCCCAGTAGCTATTTTAGCACTTGCCCACTATGGAGCAGGAGAATGATCTACCTCTCTTCATTGCTGGAGACCAGCCACCAGCTGAGGAATAAGTCTCAGAGGCCAAAGTCAGTCCTCTGCAAGGGCTGATAGCTTGCAGCAGCAGAGCTCGATGAGCAGGTACCTCATGCTCTCCTGGCCTGCGCTGCAGAAAGCCCTTGGTGTAAAGGAGAGGCCAGGGGAGGGTGTTAAGCGAGTACTAAGCTCAAGTAAAGCACCCTCACCCAGAATTAAACCTTCAAGGAGCGGCTCACGCAGGAGGCTCAACGCTCTCCCCCCTGCCAAAGCTCCAGAGGCTATTGGGAGCGAGAGGAGTTAAGGCAAAACAGTTTGCAACATCGTTAGACCCCAGTAAAGTATTTACGGCATGCTGCGCTTTCCCAGCATTTCACAACACACGGAGATTTCAAAAAACACTTTATTGGGTGTCTCATAGGAAGCGGCCCCCACCCTTCAGCATGTTTATTCTGTTGAGATCTGGAGCTAGAGCTACAGGAGGGAAATGCGAGCCGGGACACAGGTTTTATGAAGAGCTCCTTGTTGGGCAGCAGAATTAGCCGGCGCCTGCGACTCCAGCTCACGCTGCAGCCTGGGGCCCAGGCCTGCCACGGGAGCTACGCAGCAGGGCCACCGAAACACATGCCCTCAGGGGTAAATCTTGGCGGTGGGGCCGCTGGCAGCAAGTCTGAGGAGCTAACAGCATGAGAACAGCAGTCCAGCGTCACGTTAGAGTTACAATTGCTGATGACATACACCTTCCTCTCGCTACTGGAAGAAAAATCTGGATCCTTTGCGTAGTTTTGAGTTAGCAGCATGTACTCCATCTGACTTGGCTCTTCCCACGCCCCGCAGCAGCCCCCATGCGAGCCCTCCGGCCAGCAGCACGCCCTGGCAGTTTCACATCCTGGCTCCAGGTCCTGGCTCCCACGTGGCTTCAGAAATCCCAAGAAAGCCATTTCGGGGAAAAGGGAGGATTTACACTTCATCTTCTCGATTGTTATTATTCACACTCAAACATCAGCTCAGCCCAGTTCTTGGGGTGTTTCGGGACTATTTCTGGAAGCAGGGTTGGTGCTGAAGGCAAGCAGCCCCTCTTCCCCAGCGCAGGGCTGCCGCAGGAGAGGGAGCGCTCAGGCTGGCCAAAGGATTGCAACTTACGGAGCTGCCATCAACCAAGCTGCAGCAAGCGCTACATCTGTTTCCAGGATGCAGTAAAGGAGGAGTTAACACCAGCCTAGAGCTCTTCTTGCCCAAGGTTAGAGCTACCACTTTCACACAGGGCCCAGCCTGGCTGTTTGTGTCCACCCATAAAGGGATGATGCTTCAGAGAACCCCTTTGAGTACACCGACCCTGCTGAGCACTACATCAAGGAAAAGCAGCATCCCTCATATACGACAGACAGAAGGAGCTTCTTAATCCACTCGAGTGGATTATCTAAAATGCAAACTTTTAAAGCTAATTCTCCCACAGCACATCTGCCTGGAGATGAAGGGAGACCAGGCTAAAACACGGGAGTGAGCTCAGCCACATAGTCCCCTTCCTGGCCAGCATGCTACACATTCCCCATCTCTCCCTCCAAAAGGCCTGGGCCCCAGGCTATCTTGTCCTTAAAGGGATGTAGGGCAAACCTGCTTAACATGTGAAACCAGAGTGCCTTCCTAGATAGCTCCTGACAGCACACCAGGACCAGGCACAATTTCTGGGCGGATTAGAAATCCATTTCTGAGTGGACTAAAGATGTCAAGAATCACTTCAGTGGAGTCAAACCTCTCTGCAGCCTCAAAGAGATCACGCGCTAAGGCAGCACTGGCACATGAAAAAATTAACCAAGCCAAAAAGGGCTCCTAGCCTTCTTACCGTCACCTGAAGCAGCCAGTAAACAAAGGAAAGGACTATAAAAGTTCTCTTCTAAGAACGAAGAGAAGCCACTGGAGGTCCAAGAAAGTATACGTTTTTAGAGAAGAGAGCTAACTGGTAAGGGTGATGCTGCAGGAACACAGGCTCTGTTGGTTTGGCTTTCCCTCGGCACAGCCTGAGGAGGGATGGTGCCCTGAGACAGCGCTTGCCTGCCCAGAGGTTAACAGGGCTGCATACAAGTTACAGCCCGGGAAGGACAGATGTGTGATGACTATACGTAGGAAAAAAATAGATGTCCCCAAAGTAAACATCTAAGTGTATAGCACTACCAGAAGCAGAGGGGGTTAGAGTCTTCTGCTTGCTCCACAGAGAAGTAAAGCCAGGCAGAAAGCAGAAACCAGTCTGGTTTTACGTGGATCTTTGCATTTGCCATCAAGGATTCATGCTACATTAACACAAAGCTGCAAACTACCTCAGGTACATCCTGCTGGAGTGCCAAGCAGAGGTTTATTTCCAAACTGCTTCCTATTCCTTGGTGCATCGACAGGAGGAAGCCCCAACAGCCCTGCTCTGCGCAACTGTGTGGTGTCCGCTTCCAGGTGGTGACTTATTCACAAGCGCTCTCCAGCTGTCTACGCAAGCTTTCTTCCTGATTTGAGAATTATATTAGTGTGGTGGCTGTTTAAAAGCCATTTAG